TAGCATGCACACGTGCATTTCACAAAAAAGCCCAGGGCATTTGCACTGCAAATCCGGTGCGTTTTGCTCTGTCGGACGGTCTTGCGTCACTTGCGCGTCCTGCAGGCGGTTACCACTCCAGGCGCAGCAAGACATGTCGCATCTGCCACATCTGGTTGTGGCCGCATTAGCAATTAGCACTGTACCCGGGGCGATGTTTAGCCCGCACCCACATGCGCAAGTCAACCCACCGTGGCCGGAGTTTGACCACTCGCCGACAACGCCACCATTGTACGTTCCAACAACGGGGCTCGCGCGCACACATCCATGCCGCCTCGATGTTGTTGCCGTATGTTGCCGTCATTTGGCGCTGGATTTTTGTTGTCGCCTCCTCGCCGCCCCTCCTCGTACCCTACCGTGCTGCGGCTGTGCGACCTCACCTTCCGACAGGATCGCAAGGTCTCCGGCGAGCTGCGTTGCAGCCAGCAGCTAATCCGGACCCGCACGCAACGGCACAGAAGACAGGCAGGTAGTGCTGCAGCCCTCATTGAGCGGGGGCTTGCCAGGGTTAATGCAAAAATTCGCACATACGCTGGGCATCGCTGCGCGAAACGATGTCTTCATGGTGTCATGTTCTTTCAAAATATGACTCGGTGGTGGTGACAACCCTGATCCTGCCCTCCTGCCGCACCATTCGCAACCATTCACAATCTCAGAACTCTTTGCAGCCGTGAGCTACACATCGATACAACCAGGGCGTACAGTCTGTACAGTTATGCCCTACACCCCATTCAAAATCAATATCGACTACTTCACGCCAGAAGACCAACCTCTAGCGCATCTAGCGAAACACATCTGGGAATTGGGGTTGACTGTACCTGTTGACGAGCAAGCCCCTTGCGCAACTTGCGGATTTGCTCTTAATCGCCCCATCGCAGAAGTCAGCTAGCTTTGTAGGCGTACTCTAGAACACAAGTGAATTGGTTTGCAAGCGCCCGATGTCCACTGTTTTCCAGTGGGGCCGGCGGCTGCACACGCACCGTATGCACACACGCGGCACCTCGCACTTTCCAGATTCCTTCCAGTGAACAGCAGTCCTGGTTGCACGCGCCGCTCCTCCACGATGCCGCAGGGTCGCTGACCAGGGAGGCGCTCGCCCTCGTGGCAGAGATGCACCAAGCGGACGCCAGCGCTGATGCCTGCAATGCGGCGGAAGGTACAGTTGAGGAAGCGCCACGCAGCCAACAGGATTACGCCCAGCTCCCGGCGTCAGCAAGTTGGCAATTGGACGCGGTGGATCTCCAGCGTGTGCTATCCAGTCCCGACATTGCAGGACGTTCCTCCGCTCCATGCGTGCGGCCGCTGCAAACCATGCCCAATTTTAGCACACCTGCAAATGACAGGCCATGGCTCGATGCATCTGGAGCTTGTGATGCATTTTGGGCGTCCAAAATTTCCCCATGCACTGGACGTAATGTGATGAAGCCTCAACTAAGAGGAGGATTTCCATTGTTGCAGAACCTTTTGTGGAACATGTAAACATGTAAGGCGTTCTTGCGCACACTTCTGATCTTGATGTTGAATGCGGTCTATTTACTAGCTTGGACTTGGGCTCCAAACCTAATTGCCTCTCCTAAAAGATTTGCTATTTCGGATCACTCCATCGGAGACTCCGAAAGCCCAAGGCGTTGCAGACCTGCTGAATGCAATGAATTGTTCGACCCTATCAATTAGGCCAATGGCTGCGCAAACATGCAACGTCAATCCAGCTCCAGCTCAAGTTTCACGCTCTTCTAAGTCGGTTCCTTGCACTGAGTGAACAAGAACTGCTTGCTGCGAAAGCTTTCATGAAATGTCTTTGTTGAAATTGGAGCTTGAAGACCGTGAGTCATCTCAATTGTCAGTCTTATGCAGAGGATCGCAAAGATGCACAGGATGATCGGTTCCTTCTACCACCATGAGGTCGAGGGCCTCTTGCGGGCAAAACAGCTTCCATGTCTTCCTTGCCTGGAAGGTTTGTACCCTTTGGCATGGCCAATGCGCCCTGCCTCTGTGCTCAACATGGGCAAGCAGGTTAACACGCGCTTAGAATGCGGACGGCAAAGATTCCGCAGAATGTTGTCTTACGCTAATTCCTTGCCGACGAGACAACAGTTCTCATGGTTCTGGGCTTCGAGCTTGGATCGGATTTCTGTATGACATCTTCCCGGTCCAATGCAAGTCTCAAGACCACTCGCTTTGCAGGCTGCGCGCGCTGCACCGCAACTACGGGTGTTTTCTCCGCATTGTGCCACCTCATTTGACTGATGCCTCTGCTCTGCTCCTGGCACGCTGGGACGCATCGGGACGAACCTTGCCCGCCAAACAGCCTTAGTACAGCATGGGGGCACTCGTGTTTTTGTTGTTTATCGAACCGTTTTCTCCCTTGGCTTGCAATCCATAAAGATGCTGTTGCAGCACAACCCAAAATTAGCCTGGAAAACCAGTCAGCCTCACCTCAGTTACCCGTTGCACAGGATGTTGTTTGCTGGGGCTTGCCTTAAAGCACCCATGCCGACTGGAAGGTGGTGCCTTGGTGAACTTGCCGGAAAGAAACGAAGCGAGACACACCGCGCGCTACACTCGCCCGCTACGTGGATATCGCAACTGTTCGATGCGGTGCGAGGACGCAACTGCGAGAACCGGTATTGGGGCCCTGCTGGCGAAAATACAGCGCAAACAGGAGCGCACCAGATGCAGGGATGGGTCACAAGGCGCACGCGCACATCGCATCCAGGCAGCAAAGCCTATCCCCATGGGTGGTCGCCCGGCTTCACATCCAGAACACAACAAGGTCTAATTGCACAAGCCCGCTCACCTTACGCTTTAAGACTGTAAGAGTTGCTGTAGAACACATTCGCTGCCCGACGGCCTTCTTCCAGGCCTGTCACATTTTGAGCCGACACAGGGCGCATGGCGCGACAGCTCAGCTGGCGTTGCACTGCAGACAAAACCGATGGCAAGCCCAAGAATATACTCGAAACAGCGCTCGGATGGGGACATCAGCAGATTCCAGATTGGCCGCACTGGGCGTCACGCGCAGCACCGTGTCGAGCTGCAGAAATGTATCAAGGCACCGGTAAAATTCATGCAGGCCGTCTCACAAAGGGAGTCTTGGAGCGGCAGCTGCGACATGGTCGAGTTGGCATGCCTCACCTTGCCTCAAAACTTTGTTATGACAACGGGAGGCAGCTCAGCAAGCCAAAGAACTGTCATTCATCACTCAAGTTCTCTTCCGTAAATGCATCTGCCTCATTTCTGTTGGCTCCACAGTCTGCGTCAGGTTCTGCGTCGAGCCGCGCCCACGCGATCAATTTGTTGACCAGGAGAAATCGCTTCTCGCATGATTCTAGATATTCAGCAGCACTTGTTGGTGGCACTTCTCGATAACAGAAGGCGTGGCAGAAGCATGCTCGCTGATCCAGCCTGCTCAGTTTCCAAAGATCCTTGCTCAATTGCGATTATGCAAGGTGAAGGCCTTCGGGTTTGGAGAAGGCCTCATAGTAGCTGAATATCTTGACTGAATCTGTCTATGCTGGCAAGAGACATGATTTTCATGCCTCAAAACGGTCGTTTAGATATGTTTAGATTTCATCGTGGAGCTGCCACAACAGCTTTGGGTCGGCTTTCGGGGGACAGGGGAATCCTGCGCTGGTGAAAGCTGGCAACCACTGCTTTTTGCTGCGCAGAACAGCTCGCAAGCAAAGTGAAGGTTTTGGAAAATTGCCAGGAAGGGCAGTTGTCGGTGAAACGAAACGTCTGCAGCCCAAGGCCAGCTCCCTCACTGAGCGCCCTCCTTCTACAGAGCCTACAGAGAAGCGCGCTTGCGCTCCTTGTCCGGGTCGGTGGGCGACACGAAGCCTGCAGCTCTCAACCATGCATTAGTCTCGAGCAACTCTAGTCGCTAGCCTGTCCAGCCGTTCACAGACATGCTTGCATGATGCAAAATGTTTGCAGCGTGGAGCTACAAGGATTAAACGCATCTTGGTGCCCAGGCCCTGCTCCACGTCGTACTCCTCCTCCACCTCTTTGGTGATGGAACCCGGGGTGATGCCGTGTTTATGTGCACGGCATGTTTGAAGACTTCTAGACAACGCAAAATTATGACATATGTCTCCCGTGCAGCTTGGATCTATGCTTGTGATGTTCTGCATTGCGAGCTGAAATGTGCCATGACAACTATGAGTACAATTCTGCAGCACAGGCCTTGCGCTTGAGGATGTTCCGAACTTCTTCACGGAGATCCTCCAGCAAGAAAGTCATGAATTGTCGAGGTTACATAAAAGGTCTTATGGCCCAGCTTGAAAGCCAGTGGAGCCCTGCCCGACATTCACCGACCTCGGTGACTTGCTTCAGGAGATCGGTGTCCAGCGGCTCCTGGCATTAACTCGGTAGCTTGCTGTGTCAAGGCAAGGCCAAGCAAGGCCATTAGGCGATCCTTGTCGAGCAGATCCCTCGCAAGTAGCAGCTTCGACTCCAGCACCTGCAGGAGTAGAGCCACGAACACCTTTGAAAATCTCATGCACTTCTGATGCTTCCGCACCTCCACTTTTGCCGGCTTCAACTTTTGGCGTTGGTCCCTGGCTACGGTGCATTTGATGACAACCTATCTGCACTGGTAAAGAAGGATGCTTTCAAACTTCATGCATACAGCGACGTTTAACACTACAAACAGCAACCGTCAGCAGTTGCCGTGCCTGAGCAACCTCTCCACCGCGTATGCAGCAGACTCTGCATCATTTTTCACCATGACTACCTTGCAAGCCGATCATTTCAGACAGATGGATAGGACCATGACAGCATGCACCCCAGACACGGACGAAGGTGTCTGGGTGCCTTGCTCCCTCATAGTATGCTTCTTCTGCAGCCTTTTTCTCAGCCTGTGCATCAAAATCCCCAGGGGTCGTCAATGTTGATCAAAAACGGTGCACACCCGGCATCCTGACATCATTTGATTAAATCACATGTTACTTGCACCTCCGCCACTTTGTCCTGGACATCTTCCTCAGCTTAATAAAATTCCGCTGCCTGCTTGGATACTGCCTGCAGAGAGATAGCTTTGAACGCTTGAGCTTCACACTTCAGGCCACATCCAAAAACTTATTCAGTTGAGTTGCCGGGGCCAGCGTTGAAGCTCCCGAAATGGTCACTTTGGTCTCCTAGAGGAAGGAAAGGCTTTTACAGTACCATTTGGCTGTGGATGACTCTGACCAGGACAGCATGTGAGGACTGCGCGTCATATCCTTGCGGGTGGCCCTGTCGTAGGCACTGACACTGAGAATCCCATTGCTGTCCACATCGAATGTCACCTGATTCTACAAGCGTCATCTTAGCCTTACATGTGCATGTCTTCTGAAGTTTTTGCATCCAATTTTTGGGCAAACAAACTCAATGAGATACCAACATGTTTACCTAACCGCAGATGATGCCGCAACCTGTGCCTCAATTTGGGGTATGCCAGCCGGAGAAGGTGGAATACCTGTAGCATCTTTCAGCCGGGCACCAGTAACTGCGTGAGAGTCAACATGCTGGGGGAAACACCATCAAGAAGGAAGACTCCCAGCTGCTTGTTGTCGTCGGCTTTTCGGAATTCACCTTGAACAACTTCCACCTTCGCTGCACAGCTGGCGACTCAACCAATCTAGGACAAAGAGCTATTGCAAACAGGCTGCAGTGACTCGAGGCTGATTGTCAGTGGCTGTGGAGAAGACCTTTCAGGACTTCACAGCATCCATTCTGAGCCTTCTGCAACGGTGCAGGATTCCGCAGCTCCAGCCTTTGTCTTCTTCGCTGGCACCCGAGTGTTTCGTGGAAGGAACACGGAGCTGAGACCATCATGGGTTGCCTGGGCTTGGCAAAGACGACCTTTCCAGCTCTAAGCACTCTCTTGCCTTGACAGTAAGCTCCAGACCACTGATAGGGATAGAGGAACCACATCCAAAAGAACGAGATCCTCAGGCCCAGCATGCTGAACCCGCCTGAAACGGATCCCAAGCCAAAAACTCAAGTTCCGCTCCTTTACCTCCCCGGCCAACACACCGGCCTGGACTGCCGCTCCCATGGCAACCACCTCATCCGGATTGACCTTGCAGATATCTTGGAGTTTCTGCGCAGGGTTATGGTTGGTGTGGCAGAGTCAGGCCGTGCCAGCTTCAGAATCATTTGCTGGCGAGGGCTTGATTTTAGCCCCTGTGGTAGACGGTCCCTTTAACGTTGTGCTGCCCAAGTCCTTGCCAGCTTCTTAGCCAGCTTCGTAGCCGAAGAACGGTGGGCTTTTTCGGCTAATTTCGTTGGACTGCATACTTCGTGGCTCCAGGTGTCATCGAGCTTCTCGCGTCTATGGATTTGTCTAGGATGGCCAGTCGCAAGCATAACTGCAGGCAGGCATTCTGGTGTCCAGACCCAAGCTGTACTTCTTGAAACTGTGTAAGAGCCTTGCGATAAACGTGTTTCCTACACGTAACTTATCGTTAAATCCTGTGCAGCAGTTGGTTTGGGTAGCCTGTGAGGGTTTTATGGATCCATGAAATGCACATACCCATCACCAATCTTCTCTGTCCGAGGCTAAGGCGTCTTTATGCCACCGGCAAAGAGCAGTGCCAAATGGGTCCCACTTTGTCCTTCTTAATTAGATGAGCTGTATCTGGTAGTGTGGTGGACAGTCGACAGGTCGTGGCCTTAGACGCAAAGTGCCGCAGAAAATGATGTTCGGTATTTGTTGTCTTGGCGACTGGTGACTGGCGAGCTCATGAGTGCGCTATCGTTTCTCCAAGCAAGAAACACTCCGTCATGGATCCAATTGTTCCTTGCTTTTTTCTATATGCTACAACCAGTACAGACCGCGCATCATATGCAGACAAGCGGCGCTTTGGTTCAGCTCCTTGCCTCCCATAAGCGATCGAACCAGTTCCTGCACTGCCCCAATGCGTGTCGAACCGCCCACCAGCCTTGGCAAATGGCTTCCCGTTGCTGACATTGCTGGACAGTCCATTACACGCCGAAGGGCACAACTTCATCCAGGTCTTCATAGCTGAGGTCTGAATCCTTCAAGGCCTTCTCCACAGGCTCTTTCAGCCGCTCCAAGAGCTTCGAGCAAAGCCCCTCGAACTCGCTACGCGTCAGCTCCTCCTCTATGTGGAGAGGTGACCCGTCATCGTCCATTATGATGAAGGGCAGGGAGATCCTCAACGCAGCTTCTGATCTCTCCATTATGCTGACACCAAGAACCTTATGAAAGTAGTCCGTACCAAGCGTCGTTGTAGTCTCTACTCCGGAAAGCTCGATCTTGGCCTTCTCAGCTGCCTATCCAGGAAATCTTTGAGAAGAAGGCCCGTAACGGAAAGAACCATCTTTTGTCAAGCAGCTTCATTCATTAGTGCTGAAGCAGCAACACTAGCAACACATCTGGCTCTGGATGTCTCCCCCATGATCCGCAAACCAAATCAATCAAGGCTTGCCTCAGTGAGCCGCTGCAGGCTCTGGGGATCCAGTCGAAGATCGATCCTTGAATCAGCTTAAACGCGCCCTTGACATGGGGCCATTTGAACGCCGAAGATGGGATCACAACACAGCCAAGCGGCAAGGTGCGGGACGCAAAACGATGAGCCAGCCAATCCTTAGCAAGTCTCCCGTCTGTGCAGGTTTGCAGAGATTAAACAGAATTAAGTTGAGCTGTAGTCATCAAAGGAAGCGAGGGTAAGGGAGATCATTAGCTTATCTGCCGTTCTGCCAGTCTCTTTCTGTGTGTACCAACTTCTAGAGATCAACTGCTGCAAGTCTTGAAAAGTCTTGACATTAACATCCATACATTCATGACTATAAGATCCCCCTTAATTCTCAGGACCAGCCAGAATATCCAGAATAGCTAGGCTTCTACGATGCACTTGTCGAAGTTATCTCCGCCAAGCTTGGTGTCGCCACTTGTTGCCAGGACTTCACAAACGCCACCGCCAACAACGAGCACGGACACGTCGAAGGTTCCGCCGCCAAGGTCAAAAACCAGGATGGTCTCATTGTCACGCTTCTCCAGTCCATATGCCAATGAAGCAGCTGTGGGCTCATTGACAATCCGGAGGACCTCAAGCCCAGCAATGGCACCGGCATCCTTCGTGGCCTGTCTTTGGGAGTCGTTGAAATACGCCGGCACTGTTACAACGGCCTTCTTAACGTCAGCTTGCAGGTATTTGGACGCATCGCCTGCAAGTGCGCGCAGCACTTGCGCTGAGATTTCTTCAGGTGAAAGTTGCTTTTCAAGGTGGGGGCAATCTAAGCGCACGCCGAGGACACCCTCAGCCTGTTCCTCCTCACTCACGATGCTGTAGGAGACCTCAGAGGCCTCCTCGTCTACCTCATTCCGTAGCCGCCCAATGAAGCGCTTGACGGAATAGAACGTGTTGGCCGGATTCACTGCCGCTTGTCGCTTTGCTTTCTGTCCAACCAAGGTCTCACCTGTCTTTGTATAGGCTATCACACTTGGGGTGGTTCGGGCACCGTCGGCCGCAGGAATCACTGTTGCTTTGCCAGCCTCAAGCGCAGCCACGGCCGAGTTGGTCGTACCCAAATCGATGCCAACAACCTTCTCCCCTTCCTCCACATCAACATTGGCTGCCCTGAGGACAGGCCGCCAGCGTCTCCCTCGCAGCCTTTGCCGCACTGCACCGGCTGCCAGCACAGGCAGCACGCCCAGCAGTGGTGGCGCCAGTCCCTCCCAGTGTGCGCCATTCTGCGTGTCTGCAGTGCGCGGCCTGAGCTTCAACTTCAAGGGACCGTAGGACACTGATGAGGACACGTCCAGTTGCTACCGGTAGCTGCCAATTCAGTCAGGCCACGCTGGGCACCGGGATCCTGTTACAGGATTTTAGCAGGTCTATCACATTGAAGACCCTGAATCTACAAGGGCAAACTTGCTTTGGCACGGCCAGTCTCCTGTGGCAAGCACACTACTGGGGCACGGAGACACCAATGCCATGTTGTTGCGAGGTTTCTGCTCGGACTGTAAGATATGGTTTTATGGTTTGAAGGTCCTTTGAAGCCTTTTCAAATCTTCAACCGTTAGGTAGCCAATGGCAGCGGGGTGAGTTTGACTGGAAGCTGCTTCAGGGAGCCCATTCGCACAGCTTAAAGTCGTGATCACGTCGTTCTCTGCTTGCAAAACGCTGCCGACTTGTAGGATTCGAGATGATCTGCGCAGGCTCTTCCGCAAGGAAAAGATACATGGAGACAGAGAAGCCATGCAGCTCTGGACTGGCGCAGCATGCTTTTTCTAGCCGCGGCCTTGCTTCATGCAAAGCGCGTGAGATAGAGTCAAATCCTGCGAATGCTGCTCATGAACCATGCTGCTTTGACCCAACTCAAAAATCCGTTCAAAGGGAGCACTGGACCAGCAGGACTTGTCAGAGACGGATCATACTGCCAAAACTCGGCATCATCACATCGTGGCATGTCTGGTGTTTCCTAAGAGTGCCTCTGTCTGACCAGATGGCACTTTGGAAATCTCAGAGTTTCACAGCACATCAGCACATCTATCGACAGCATCGACATGATCTCTATCTATTACAAGTATATCTAGCGCTGTCAGCCCTGTCGCATATCATTCACTAAGTTACTAAGCTTGCCCCTTGCACTCATACCTCAGCTCGAGAAGTATGGACCTCGGCTTACGTGCAGCTTGCCCACGCCAACTTGGGCGGCTACCCAGCGAGAAAGCAAACATGCAGACAGTCCGCAAGGTTGCGAGGCCGGTGCTGTGTAATCAGGCTTGGGCACTTGCGATGATCCTGCTGCCGAAGAACACGGCCAAGCCCTGACCGGTGGAATGCGCTTCTCTTGTGAGCAGTTTGGATCCGGCCAAGCCTGAGCCTTAGCGCCGCTTGCGGCGACGTGGTGGCCTGAGAAGAGGCGCGTGACTTGCCGTCTTCAGCCCAGAGCTCCTAGGTTAAACGCCGCTTGCCTTTGGCTGTACATGTTTTGCAAGATTCGGCCCAAATCTATTGCCGCAAAAACCTTCTGATGAACACTCAGATCTTTCAGCGGGGAGGTTGAGTATGTACTGCATTCTTTGCAAGCCCGTGGTTGGGTGGATGACTATAGTCTATGCCTCGTTGTCACGGCTTAGATATCCATTTTGCCGCTGCTTTCTTTGACACACGGCGCGCTTCTCAAGCCGTTCTGGCCTTGTGCCGCTCGGACCGAGACTGCACAAATGCCCAGCTCGGAGCACACGTTAACTGAGCAGGCTGAGCACAGCGCGCCCGCCACTCGCAACATTAACTGGACAGACTTCTGCGCACTAATCCAAGCTCGTCTTCAAGCTTGGCTACTATGGAAGCCTCCTAGGAGGCACCTGCACCAGCTCTCACACGTGGACCGCAAAGGAACTGGCGAGAGCGACATGCCATGATGCACGAACACAGGAAAGAGCATGCCCCTCGAAGCATAGCATGGCTGAAGGCATTTTGTATCCTGCAGGGAACCTGCCTCGTCGGATCGGCGACTGCGCCAGGATGAACATGAACTGCGGATTGCAAGAGTGCCGAAACTGCAGTGTGAAGTCAGTTGGCGCAATGCGCCTGAAGAGTCCATGCACCTTGGTCGTCACGGCGGCCTCTTCTGACATCTACACAGTGTAGGCTTTGTAGATCTTCTGACGCACGTCTCTGAGGACCAGGCTCTTGGAAGCACCATGGCACCTTGACACTGCAAGCACCTGCACCCTCTGCCTCATCCGATCACATCACAGATACCAAAGAAGCAGAACGCTTAGTTCGGGACACAGAATGATGTAACCATCCATACCCATCACTGACGCATCTTCTGGAGGAGGCATAGTGGGAGGAACACCTCAGTTTCATGGTGGTCTGGTTTGAGCCTTGAACTTTGGCAGTGTCCTCGCACAGGCTCGGCGTCAGGCCTCCCTTCGGAGGTTTCTGCCCCGGAGACGGTGGAGTTACCCTGTCCTGCTGTTGTGGGTGCATGGCTACAACTCAGGCATGCTGCGTGCTCGTGCCCTACAGATGAACTTCCCAGCTGCCCACAACAGCAAACTTCTCTGCGTAAGAAGGCCTGAAGAATTCTGAAGTATGCATGTTACATGTTCGTCAAAACTCTTTCTGTGAAGTGCCTTCAAGGGGCTCCTATCGCTTCCGCGGATCTTGCATTATTTGGACATCAACTGTGGATTCCGCGCCGGGCATTAATTATACTCTTAAATTCCTATAGAAACTCTAGCACCAGTAAAGATACTGCTGATCGCATTGAGGACACAGCAAGTTCCAGCCATTGACGGCAGCCCTTTACGGGACTAATCTTGCCCGTTTCTCACTTCCAGTGTTGGTTTCGAATAGATCGTGATGATCAGGATAGGGACGGCTACGGAATAACGCACGCGCAAAATAGCGTAAGCGCTATACTTGCAGCCTGAGTCTCTGTTACGTCGGATTATAGAACTGGGAGGAAGGTGTGCAAAGTTTGCACGTCCACGATGGCCAGAGCCTATGAAAAGCACGTCAAAGAATCACTGCTTTGGGATGCCTTGCCTCTGGCAGGCCCTCCAGGTGCAGAGCACGTCTTCCAAATTCAAACATGGCCCAGGACCACCCAGCATTGCGCAACCCGATTTATATGAGAAGGGTGATTCTCATTATGGATTCCTTCCGCCATGCCGCGGTGCAGAAGCTGCTTTGACAGGATATGGCAGATCAGGCAAGGACAGATAACTGTCATGTCCAAATTCGATCAGCTTCAACTAACTCGTAGCCGCTTGCAGTGCGCTCCGGCGTAGGATCAGGATCGTCATCTGGGCTTGGCGGCGGCGCAGGCTTGCCTGCAAAGATTAACTGAAGGCAACACGTGCAAAGGAGCGGCACTGGTGCCACACAGGGCCATAAGGCCCGCACTGATGTAAGGATCCTTCCCAGACAGGAAGGGAACCGGGGCTGGAGCCCTGTAAGGCACCCAGGCACGCTCCTGGCAGTCTACAGCTCAGAACCTTGCTCTTGGGCCAGTGATCCATGGCAACAGAGAATGCTCCTCCGTGCCCGGCACTGCTGAAGCTGCAGCCTTGGCACCCTGTGTGGCCTGCACTTCTCTAAGTCCATCTGTCGCAACCCTAAACTTTGCAGATCAACGGTTACCTGCACTACTACCTGCAGTCATCTGAAGTGTGGTATGGTCCACTTGGTTTGACTGCCTCAATGGCATTGCTCTGCGCTGGCGCCGCTTGAGGCGGCGCCCCTGGTGATTGCTGCGCTGCAGGCTGCATGGCAGGCTGCATGTGGATCTCATCCACCTTGGAGATATTATCACACATTGTGCTACCGACAGCCGCTACCGCTACAGTGCGATTTCAGAAAGCACTACGTAAAACATTTGGAGAATTTCATCCCCAAGGCTCTGTGTGCAGCCGTGGCACTGGCTGGGCCGCCGGTGGCCTGGGGTGTAGTCGGAACCTCAAACACAAAAAATCATCCTGGTCGCAATGCTGTCTTCCCCATCCTTGCTGTTGTAACTCTAAGCCGTGTTCTGCAAGCTTTGCTGTGGCTAGTTGAGGCCAGAACCACTCTGCCAGCCTGGTAGCTGCGACCAAGGCTTCGACAAACGGGCTCTCGAAAGGGTCCGACGCATGAGACAAGCCAAGACAAGCCACCGCGGCCTCTCGAGATGCACGCCTGGAGGCGAGCTTCCTCGTGGCATTGTCCGCAGTGGATCGGGTGGGTCCTCAGAAAGCCCAATCTTGTCGAAACCCGCAGGTACATCCTGAAGCTTTTCGTCGACATTCGAGCCCCGGGCGGTCGGCCAACGAGCTGCCGACAGCCAGGGCTCGCCAGGCAATGGCCGCTCTGCGTAGGTCTCGGAAGAGGCTGAGAGTACATTCCCAGGTTTCAAACGATTTTACTTTCCGCCTTCAGGGCTGCAAGAGTTAAGCGCTGGCTGTGCAAGAAAGGAAGCAGTAGATCTCACACAGCCGAGATCCCCGCGGGGAAACTTGCGCTGGGCTGTCGCAAGGCCTACCCGAACAGGTCTCAGTCAAGGTTCGGTTTCGCAGCATGCTCGGGAGCTTCCAGTGCTGCCCGCCTCCATGGCAGCCACGTTTGCACGACGCGCTGCTTCAAATGCCTGCCAGAAGCTCTACTTCCAATGCTTGGCTGAGGCTGGCTGTGTCGCAGGTTTGCCAAGCAGCTTTGGCCTCTGGGCTCTACGCCACACTACACAAAACCTACAGCATTTTATAACTCTAGACTCTAGACTCGAGTACTCAGGCAAAGCTAGCGGGAAGCTGTTTCAAAAATGCAAGGAAGCATGCCTGGTTGGAATCCGCGGATGCCAAGTACAGCGCCTGTCACAGCTTTGGTGGCATGCTGGCTTGAAGTAATGCCACTGCATGAGCAACTTGCTGGATGCCTTCAGGGCTTCTCTTTGAGCCCAGCGAGCATGCTCAGCCATGAGTATCGCCTGCTGGCAAGCACTCACAGTGCCTCAAAGGGATGCACAATGTCGGTTTCTATGGCTAGGCACTGAGACGTGGGCAACTTCGCTGCTGCGAGGCTTCACCTTGATGTGCTGCTGGCAGAGACAATCATCGACTCCGATCATGATCATGTCTGTCAAGACATATACAGCGCTTCTGCAAAAAAGTTGACAAAGCGTCTACCGAGCACTGACTGAAAAGAACTGAGCCCCTGACCATGTGCATCACGTTCGCATTTGATGGGTCAAGTTCTGTTCCAGTACAAGGAGGAGTCGCTGGCAGATGCAGCAACACAAAGCTGACTAGCACGACTTCACTACCAATGTTCTTAGTTCAAATCAGTGAGCCGATCTACAAATTGCAATAGCAGTCCTGATGGGACGGCGAAATCTACACCTTGGTAGAGCAATACAGATTGACTGGACCCAAAAACTGAACACACTAGCTGCTTCAACTATACTCCCGGCTTTACAAAAGTGAATTGTCTCAAGTCAGACGCAATTGCTTGCCTTACTGATGGTGAGTAGGGAATAAGGGAACAGAATCCCTACATAATCCCTATATCACGTATTCCCTTGTTCCCTACTAGCACCCAGTAAGTGACTTGTAGCAAAGGCCCTGGCCGGGCACTTTGGCTGGGGCTCCCATCATGTTCTTCTGTGGGGCATTGCCCGAAAACCGGGGTCCTTGCAGAGATTCACTGAGCCACTGAGCCTGCATGTCCTAGCTCTTGATAGCTCTTGTATCTGTGATGGTTTGCTTTGCTGCTGTGGCATGTACAAGGATGCGTAGCAAAGTCCTGAGCCGTATGCGATCTCGTTCAAGGCTTTCCTCCTGATCATTGGGGCGTGCTCGCATCTTGCGTTGGCGAAGACCGTGCACCAGCCAACATGTTCACAATGCCAGGCTAAGACTCCCGCGAACGGTAGTTTTGGACCATCTGCAGCAGGGGTCACAGTATGGGGAGAGCAGAAGGTCTGCCGGACAGCATTCTTAGAAAGGACCTCCGTAAAGCCTTCCGCGATGGCATCCAATTCTTTCTTCGCCCCGCCACCGAGCGAAAACCTGCACTTTCTGCAGTAGGAAGTAAGACGCACTGTAACATGCAGAACGCTGCTGTTCCTAAGCGCGCCACATCGCAATATTTTCGGCGGCACTTCGAGCGGGCTATTTGCGCTGTGACTCGTGAAGCTGCGACTCTGGCCCAAGAGTTGTGGGTGCAAGCTGTGTTGTGTATCCGTGAAGTTTTCATGAGGCTGCCTAGAATCTTAGAAGGCCCTGCAACCGAACTTGTCCGAGGGGCAGCTTGGAAAAGGGGGTTTGCATACCTCCTGAATGGCCTGGGCAGCCAGATGCTATACTGAATGAGCCAGAGGGTGTGATGAATTGCGCGCACAGGCGTAAGCGATGCAAATCAAATGCACAGTCGCATATACATGTTTGTATGGAGCTTCTGGAATCGGATGGAAGCCGGAGGTTTTGCTTGTCAGGCTTCCGGCCCAATTACAAAGAAAATCGAAACCCAGATCACCAACTGTGGTTTTTCTCACTATATATTTCCTGCAGCACAGGTTGGGACCCTGCTGAAACAACAGGCTGAGCTCACCGCGAGCGTGAATCGGAGTAGGAATAGTCCGAGTAGCTTGGACTTCGCCTTGTAACTTGACAGAAATGCAGGACGTCCTGGTGCCCCTCAAGATTCTCTGCAAAAGGAATTCTCAAGCAACATCGGGACAAGTCAGGAATTTCGACGTCCCTTTGCATGATCAACGGCCTCCTTCTTCGGCCGCGACCACCACCACCACCGCCCCCTCCTCCTCGGAGAGCGGGGCTGTCAGTCTTCACTCGCCGGTGAGGATTCTCTGAGCTCCAAACGTCTGCTGCGACTCCTGAATGTGGCTGGCAAGCAGACGGTGTTATTTGACTTGCTTTAACAATTAACAGTGAGTGGCAGCTAGAGCACGGGTCATTTTGGGGAACAGCAGGGCTCATTGCATGCAGGGGATTAGAAATTTAAGGTCACCAAGTTGCGACAAGCAGAGATTCTCGTTGCTGAGGATTGCTAACTGCACATGATTGCACATAGATTTTGGACTGTAACAACAAAAGCTGAAACTCAAAACGCGAACAAAACGTCTTCAATCTCATGCTTACATGCTTTTCCAGGACCTTGATGTTGACCTGTTTTCAACGCTGGGAGGTCAGGCCAAGATGCGAGTTCAAAGGTGACAACAGGTTAACGGTTAACACAAAGAAACTTAGTTCAGCATTTGCTGCAAAACTCTTACCAAGCCTGGGGTCTGTCGGTCTGTCCGGACATTTCCGGGATTGGGCTAAGTATAGGCCATGACTTTTCTAACATTCGGTGTTGCTTGTTGTTGAAGAGATCTTTTGGCTGGCGAATGCTGAATGAACAACTGAAGATTCCGAGAAGATGTTAAAGCAGGTGCATTATTCGGGTGGGCCTCTTGGTTTCTGTTTGGTCTGATATCCCTGCCTGCTGTTCTGAGTCTGAAGGCCCCCGTAACAACTACATAGTTTTGAACATCACCAGCAGTGCTAACACTACGACAAAATACTCTCTGGGACCACCAGGCTCACACTTTCATTCGTGTTTGATGCAAAAACGCATGCTCCTTGATCCACCGCGACGCGGGGGCGGGCCGCGCCGAGGCTCACCACCCTTCGACACCTCTGAGCAGTACATGCCCGAGGCTGCTGCGCTGCATGAATACTTTGACTATCTTGGACTTCATTGAACCACCAGCGCACTCCAATCCTGCTGGCGCAGCTCTGCTTCCACAACAGTCTCACAACAATCTCTGGATGTCTCTGGCTACATACACAAAGCAGTCAAGTTCACCTCGAAGAGTTTGGATCAGACTAAACCCGCAATTGTGCCAGCTTGTCGGAAACTAGGCGCCTCCACCCGAATGCGCTCTCCGGCCACTTTGGAGCCATCCAGCTCTTTTACGGCTTCGTTGGCTTCGTTCTCGTCGTCCATGGTCACAAATGCAAACCTGAACGCGAACGGAATCAAGGCAGCCCAAGGGAGTTGCCATCGTCATCTGAATCGCTCGGCTCTGGACCCCGGGGGCTGCCTTGCTACCCAAATATCAACCACTCTGCCAAACTTCTCAAACTTCTCCTGCAGATCACTGATGTTCAAGTTCTCAGTGAAGATGCGAGGATGGGTCAAGGAAGCTCAAGTTACAACTGGATGTCTAGTGGTCAGCAGCTCCTCAAGCTCATTTCTCTCAACCTGGCACTCCCAGGCTGACTGTTTGGCCCTTGTCCACACTCTCTGCATGCTTCAAAGTAACTCAAAGCACAGCCCAATTTTCAGCCCAAGACAGAGCCAATCAATGCTCCTAGGGATCTAGACATGCTTTCCTGCAGGGCACTCGTGAAGATTCCTTAATTCTCGCGAGGAAGCTAGCCAGGTTGTGTACCTTACCTTGCATCAACCTGGTCACACTTGTACAAAGTCTGGATTCCCGGAGCACGGTCAGTCATTGACTCTGCGTCACTATCCGAGCATCATTAACGCGATCAGACGCTGGTAGCTGAGCTTTCTCTTTCTCACCTAGGGCTCGCTTGGCCGGAAATATCAGCTTCCACGTCTGATAAGGCTGGTCTTCAGCACAAATGGCGCAGGCTTCTGCGGCGTTCTTTGGGCCTCGAAGGCTGAAGCATGCTGAAGCTGATCAAAACTCTCTCCTTGTGCACCCTGGCCTGCATGATGCCAGCACCCGGGGTCAGGCCTGAAGCAAGGAGGGTCAACGCCATGCATTGATACATGCGCCTGCCTTACTGCGTACAACCGCTCAAGAAATCCAAAGAGCCCTCTATCCCTTGAAATTACGTCAAGTTGTGCATAAATCTACACAGCCGAAGACTTGGGGACGAAAACTACATCAGGTGCGGGTGCGCTGAAAGTCACTTGCAGGATCTTTTTGCATGCTACACTCGACGCTCAGGCTCCGGTTGAGCATGCGAAAAGAGATCCTGCAAGAGACTTTCAGCACACCCGCATCTGCAGGCTCCTTGCTCTATAAAATCTGATATGTCCGCTACCATATGAGCAGGATGGGGATGCTACAGTAGATGTCACATCGAGGCCTTAAACCTCTCCTGATACACATTGAAAAGACACCCCCTGCCGAAGAAGCGGCCAAACCCCTCCCCAGCACGCAGTCTAGCTCCCAGTACGGCCAAAATCTGCCACACGGCCGTGGGTCACCCCGACACACCCCTTCTTGCAAGCTATCAGGTGTAAACCACGTACAGCTAGGTGATTTCGCGTATGGACTTTTGATGTGGAATATGCAGTAAAGCAAAGTAAAGCAATAATGCACGCTGGCCTGCAGAGATGGGCGCTTGGGTGATCAGCGAAGGTGTGGGTGGCACTGGAGATACATGAGACACCTGAGTCGCCCCTGGATCTCGCTCTGAAACAACATCGCTGGCTGGGCCTTGTGGTCAGCATGAAGTGGTCCCGCGCGGCTGTGCAAGTGTTCCTGCACGAGCAAAGTGCTACGAGCCTCAGAGTCACACTGCAAGCACTCTGGTTTGACCGCCTGGACGACCAGCTGCAACTCACCTCAGATGCCATCAAAATCAGCTGAGAGCTGTCCAACCAGAAGTGAGTGATTGGCCAAGCCATCTTGCATGAGGGACTACCTTCTTACTGTGTTTACTGAGAACATGGGAAGAGCGATCTTCCCAGCAAAAGCGTAGCCATTGATGAATTTGCTGAATTCGCTGGAAAGAGAGTTACCCAGCACCCAAAGTTCTGTAGAGCCAAGAAACGGTCCGCAAGCTGCGCACAGCTCGCACGCAACGGAAGCACCTGCCCGCGGAATCATGCAACATCATGAGCACGATTAAGAACTACCATCTACAAGTAGCTGACCTTTTCGGCCGCCAATCAACGTTGCGCACAACAATGTTCTCTGATTTCATTGCGAGCAGCCCAGCCCGTTGTCCAAGAGACCATGCCTGCATCTCTAGAGTTCGAAGGCGCTGAGCCTCAATATCAGGCGGGCATTGGGAAGGCCTCGCTTGGACTTTAACATCTTGAATGCAGGGTTGTCCTCGCAGAATTCTACTGACTCCCAATTGTGTGATTGCGCTACATGCAGTCAGAACCCGGCCTCAGCAAGATCCACTTGTTTCATGAGCTGCTCCACCTTGCAGAGGCATCTGCCAAACGGAGGACTGAACTGCCAACGCAAATTATTGCGAATGTCATAGAGAGGGCAATACATGCTGCGCTCGCTGCCTCTATCGTCTAGCATGTAGAACCCAAAATGCCCCTTCTTCTCCCACCAGTTGTATGGCATGTTCGACCGGATCTTGGTAGACTGGCAGACGTGGTTTCCAGATAGCCGCGGATTTGTTGATGAAGAGCCCGCTAAAAATGCAACACTTCCTGAGTCCTGCCTCACGCTCTGCAGCCGCAAGCTCTTCTTCTGCCTGCAGGTTTTGAAGCTGGAGATAGCCAAGTGCTGCATGAACACAGCTCTGCTCGAGGTTCAAAGGCTAAGCACGAAAAGGTTAAGCTGTTTACTTAAAGGCGTCATCAGCCAAAGCTTGGGTCGGTAAGCTTTCTTGGCCTGCAGCCGGCTTGCTCGTGCAGTATCTCTGCCCACCTGCATAACACGGACAGCATCCGTGCCGTGATATGTGGAATTTGCAAGAAGGAATGGGAATAGCAGCAGGCCATCCAAACGCACATGATATAACAGTGCTACTTATTGGAAAACAAGCTTTGACAGCAGTATCAGCAGCATCACACCTTCTCGCTAGCGCACGAGCTTGGCGTTTGTAAGCGACTAGCCGACTGGCCTCCAATTGCTGGTGCTTTTCACGCCAGCGAGCTAACTCAAACATCAGATGCTCCTGGCAGCACGGAGACATCGCTTGAGACCATGTCTTCTAACACGTGTGGATTGAACGTTTCCCCATATGCCTGATGCCGATGAAAATCCCGCAGCTTGGCAGCGCACCTGTGCAACTTAACCATCACATCCAACCCCAATAGAGCATGCAATTGCCCTGGTCGATTGCTAAGCCTCGCGCTGCTGCATCTTCTGCTGGAGCTCTGCAGATAGATCCTGGCGAAAGTTAGGTTTGGTCTGCAGAACTGGATCTGACTCACTGGCGGTTCTGCACGTTGTTAGAGGTTCTGATTTTGGAGGATCTCAAGGACCCAGCAAGCTTTGAAATCTCAGGTGTCTCAGGTCTCAGGCCTGCCGTTTGCAGCCAGCTGCTTTCTGAAAACATCACACTGATCTGCAACCAGGAATGCCGTGCAACGAGGCCTCGTAATGGTGTGCTTCGCAGTGGTCATCGCGCAGCCTGCCGAGATGGGTAGGGGCACACTCATGGCATTGCAGGTGATGAAGGCACATGGCTGCACAAATCAAGGCAAACAGCCCTTCCCGCCCCATTGTCTGCAGATAGTGGCAGGGGTGTCGCACGATCCCTCCAAAAACATCTCAAATCATGCGTCAAAGCTCCAGCTTATCCAGCGACCAGCTTCTGGCAGCAGACATGCGCTTCTCAAAGCAACTCGACCATTTACAAGTGCGACATATTCATGGGAGGCATCGCCTGCCTCAGACTACAGTTCAGAATCTACATTGAATTTCTTGCGCAGGGCCCGACAGAAATGGCACTCATCTTAACCCTTCAAAGAAGACCGTCAAAGACAGATGTCCGCTTCTTTTGCACGCTGCTTCGTTCTACCTTCGTCGGCCTCGCCAGGCAGGCTCCTGGCAAGTAAAAAGAATTGCATCACAACAGCAGCTTCCGCCGCCAAAGCTCTGATGCGAAGCTCTGATGGGAAAAGGAAAAGCCCAAAGACAAGGCCAAAACTGAGCAACACAAGAACCTCTCTGAACGTGGCTCTCCTGGTCTTGGTTGGCGTTGAGAACTGAACCCAAGCAATCGAACTGTGCGAATGCCAGATCAGTTGAGGTCTCTGAACCTGGGCTAAGCGATGTTAATCTCGTGTTTGCCGTTCGCGCAGGTCACAATCTCTAAGTTGTCCGTGCCCTAATCCCCGCCTGCAGAAATTGGCGGTTGTGAAAGAGCATCGGAATCGGACTTGGATCTTGTGAGACCGAAACCTTTTGAAGAACTCCTTAGTTTGTTGCCATCCAAACTTGCACGAACAAATCCCCACCAGATTTTGCAAACAAGGGTTGGCAATAGTGCAGGCCGGGCGTCTGTAAAGCCACGACCTTGTGCAAAGCCTCCGCTAGCACTTTCTCGGGTATGGCATACGCCTCAACAAGATGGGAAGGATCCTCTGGGCAGTGAACGTCACATCGTCATGTATGTCACAGTGGCACTTTTGAGCCCAAGTGCATGGGTGAAAAAAGCTAGCTCGCCATTTCCCCAAGATGCAAAACCATACAAACATGCCTGTCTTCGGCAGGGCTGGAATGGTCCCTTCGGCATGGCTGCCTCTTATCTGCTAGAATCGACTGCCTCACCATCCGCTGACTCGTTGTCCCGACCCCCAGTTTTAGCGCTTTTGCCTTTTACGCTCGCTGACACTCAGCGAGTTGACATGCAAAACCTTTGGGTCTTAGTCATATGATGTCATATCTCTTGTGCGTGGTGTCTGTTCTGGACGTGTTTCTGGGTATTTGTGGTCGTCGTGAAAATAGGCATTTTCTTCTCCAAGAATCTGAGCACATTACGGTACAAATGTGTTGGTTAACCTGTAAAATACCGTGGCACGGCACAGTGAGAACATTCCTCTTTTTCAGGTTGGCAGCTTCTGGCATCAAACCTCTCTGGTTGCTGATTCTTGTGGTGACGTTGCGTTTCAGCTTTCAGCAAGCTCAAGTCCTGAGCTTACTTTCAAACGGATGAGTCCTAGATTTGTTCCATTAGTCTAAAGTTTGGAGGAGCTCGGAGCCCATTTTCAATCACCCCACTGGTCCAGGGTGCCTTTCACTAGTCCAGGGTCTTGACGGGTCCTGGACTCGTTTTCAATCGGCCCATTGCTCCAAGGTTCGTTCCTGTAGTCCAAGGCTTTGCGCGGTCCTAGACTAATGTCGTATCTCCCCACTAGTACAACGCTCGTTCCATTGCTCTCAGGGTTGCAGGAGTCCTTGACTAGTCTTCAATCACCCCATTAGTCTAAGGATCGTTCCTTACAATCCTGCTTCATATGTCCAAAGCAACAGTCACGGACAACATCAAAGATCTCTAGGTCGTACATGACACAGCAACAGCTTTCCACGGGGGCACGCGCTACCAGCTTTGACGACATCAGGGGTGACTTATGCTGCCAGCCACCAAGGTCTTTCAGCCCATCCTCAATGTTGCTGTTGTGAGCGATAAAAAACAACATTGTCGGAACGCGTGCTTCAAAACCTGAAGGAGGGACGGACGGTTTCTTCCCTGGAGTTCGGTTGCGCGGTGAAGCAACTTCAGGCTTGCATGCAGCATGGTGGCGTGAGCTTCAGTGCAAATCTGTAAGGCAACATCTCCAAAGGGGAGTTGCCGCGTTGCCGCCTCGCTGCGTGTCCGTATGTCCGTGTCATCGTGAACTGCGCTGCAGCACTTCTGCCGCTCAAGCCCGCTCAAGCGTTTTTTGTGCACGCGGTCAGCACCCGCGGTCGCTAGCCCATGCTAGCCCAAGTCCACGCTTCCGGGTACACAGTTTAGCAAGTTAGGCAAGCGAAGCCAGAGCTGGCCATGCCTCCGCTGCGTGGCTAGGAATTATAATTTTGAGAACAAAGCAGCAGACGTGCACAGCTGCAAAAAGTTCAACAGGAGAAGTACGCCCACATGAAACAGGCTGAGATGCCCTGAGTACAACCTCAACCCTGAAGTCTGAGCTCCGCATTCACTGAACAAACAGCAATGCAAGTAGACTTCAAGCGCGGCCTCCGCCACACTCTGGACGGCAGCCTCTGGCGACTCAGGTGCCCTTGGCTTGAGGAAGGCACTGCAGTCAGAGAAAAAAGCTTCTTCATCAAGGCGCTCAATGCTGGTCTCGATCTCCTTCCCTGCCTCAGCCCACAAGTAGGAAGCAAGCAGCAGGTGCCGGGCGTCACAGGAGCCTTGTCAATTTTGTCACCCCAGGGTGGCCGGTCCAGGGTCTGAAGACAGAGACGGTGCCCGAAGGTGTTCAGCAAGATCATCCCACAAACCTTGCACAAATGCCCCGTGGCTTTGGAAGCTTGAGGTGCTGACAGGTCCGGTGGGCAGCTGAGCATGTTAAGTTCCGAGCAGACATGATGCAGATGTACAACCTCGCCTCGGCTCCCGTGGACTCTGCGGACTCTCGGACTCTTGAAGCGACCAGCAACCCCGACATATCCTGACATCCATCAGACCAGGGGGCTGCCAGGAAGATGAAGTCCTGACCTCGGATTCCCGACTGCTGCCGCCCTTTTTCTATCACATGATTGCTATTCAGAAACAACTCACCTTGTGCTCGGCTCCGGTTCCTGTTCCTGGCTAGAGTCCCTCCCGTCAGCAGTCAGCAGTCCAAACAAACGGTCTACATGCCAAAGCTTCTACCGATCAAAGAGCTTCAGCTGCTTCCAAGTGGCAAGTGGAGCTATTGGATAGCCGGCCAAAGAACTGCCTTGAAAGCCCAGAGGGCTCTGCACGGCATCTCTTGCTCGTGCACAGGGGTGTCGCACACTTCAGGAGCTCATTGCGGGTACAAAACAAATGCCAGCACAGCCCAGGTGCCCGGTAATAGGAACTTGACCCAGAGCGCCCTGGCCAGATTAAGTCAGACTGAAGCGAGCTCTTCGGCAGCAACACACAGCAATTTGTTTTCCCCACAGCACCTGGATCGTTGCTCGAGGCAGGATGGAGACGAAGCCTTTGCTACAAGTATAAGGCTTCTTCTGACGTTTTGCCATTCCTCGTGGGAAGCCACTCCGCCTGCAGCTGAGTTTCAGAACGTGACATCCTGCATCACAGTGGCGGCCTGAAATGGATGACCTTGCAAAGCACTGCTCGAGGACTTGCTGCAGGACACATGTGAGGTAACGTTCATGCTGCAGCAGATCACTAAATGACTCAAGACGTGCCTGGCAGGTCAAGGATGAGAATGCCATTGATGGCGAGGAAGATGCCCACGAATCGAGCAGCTAGTCCACAGGCCATCAAAGGAAACCTGCGTATGTTCTTGTTCAAAAATTTACACCTTTCTCCCGGACCACCTCACGTACTGAAGAGGTGGGGGCCAGGACGAAGCTGCGGCTTGCGGATTTGAAGCTCATGCTGCCAGAGAACACATGGTGCCAGAATGCCGGGAAGATGTCAAGCGTTGTACGGCTGCCGATCCTGATATGGTGCCAAGATGCACCGAGCAAGCAAGGCTGGATATGGAACATGGGTGGGTCGTCCAAACAGGCACAGAATAGAATTCTGACTGCAGCCGGGGCTCATGCTAAAAAGGATCAGCTGCCCGAAGATCCAAACACCACCCATCACTCGTTCTACCTGCTCCCAGCTCAGTCAGCATCCACGGCATTCACATGAATGCTACAAGGCAGCTGGCACGGAATCATGTAAAGGACTACGAGGACCCAAGGCCCTTCATGCTGATGCCTGGATTGCACAAACTGATGTCGTGCTGCGGCCGGCAGATTACCAACAAGACTGCGTGAACACGTTGCTTCCGTGCGCATCGGCTGAGGCTGATGTCATTCAGAGCTTGGGAGAGAAAGCCTTGGTCCGTCACCTTGCTCCTCATGTTTTGTTGTGAGAGCTTGTGGCCTTGCTGACATTCTTGAAAAACCTTGTGGCCAACCCTTTATAAACTAGAACCAAAGCAGAAGTTTTCAAAGAGCTCAAAGTAATGACATGGACCCGAGGTTTGCAGTACAGAAGGAACTTGGCAGCATTTCTACACTGATTGTGCACAGTTTCTGATGCTACTCAGACAGAAACAAACCCGATTGGGCTAAGCTCCAAGACAACCTCTTTGGTGAAGCCGCTCCCCACGCAAGAGGATCCCGAGAAGCGCCTGGTGGAGGTCTGCCTCTGCAGCCACAGCCGAGAAGAAAACTCCAGTCATGATCACCATCAACTCCTGCGCCCAAAAGAATTCAAAGACGGTATGCCCAACATCAAGGCTTAATTTGAAAAGAGTCTGCCGAGGATGAATGAAGGCTATGCTTATTCCTTGAGGGACGTTGATCGGCAAGGCTTGCCCAGAAGAAAGGCGCGGCACGGAAACAGCAGACAGCTCGGAAGAATATTCCACATTCTAGATAAATGCCAGAGCCCAACAGGTGTCCGACTGAAAGAAGGCGCCACCAATAAGCGGCATAGGCACCTGAATGTGAAGATTGTGCGAAGAACATGCTCGGAAAGATCTCCATATCAACTCCCCTTTCAGACACAGAAAAAAGTGAGGGCTGTGGAAGGCTCAAGAATCCAAGGCACGAGTGTGGCTCCCTCTGAGACGCCAAGGGCGAAGGCCGATAGCGCCACTGAAACGACCATCAGGAAAGCCTAGGAACTGCCGCAACTCAGGGAGGCCCAAACTTCTGTTGCAGCAACATCTCAGCCCAAAGCCTCTACAGGCATGCCAGTGAACACCTGAAGCGTTGCGTGTAGGACGCGTGGCATCACGCACGCAAGCATGCACCGTTCACTTTGCATCCAAGCCTGCTTGCCCGAGATGGTTAGCTTGGTCCTTCTGGGAATTAGCCATCCTGCGGCACCACCCAGCACCATTCCACCGACCACAGTTGCAATGATTCGTAACACCTGGGCTTGGCCGCTAGGCAGGGGCAGCACAGCCCACCATCCAAGATTCAAGACTCAAGACCCTCACCGTTCTCTGCGCCAAGCAACATTGCCGCCTAACAGCATTCCCGTGCTGACCGCAGAGTCAGCGGGCGCGGCAAAACCTGCCAACGCGTGGAGTCGCATCCAGCGACAGTCGGTTTGCATTGCTAGCTGCTACCCTCTCATGCCCCCTGGCCCTTTTTTTAAAAACCCACGGCTCAATTGCCCAAAATAACTGCAGGAATGCTGCCCTCGAAACAGTACACTGCAGAGCTTGGGCAGCGGCCACTGAGCACACCAAAGGTCGCCAGCGCAAACGACGCTTCCAGAGGCGCCCAGGTGAACATGAGCCGTGGCATCGGATGCCTGAAGCTGGTTCACGGAAGGATTTTGACTGGCAGCTGCTTTCTGCAAGCTGGGTGCCCCTTGAAGATGTACCCGAACTCCTTCATCTTAGGTATGACCAGGCCGTCACCGATCGCTACGAGGATTGTTCCCAAGACCAGGCCCTCCAAAGGGGCGTAGTCCAGAATGAAGACTCCATACCTGCTGAATCAGGTCAAGTTCATGCGACTCAGGCAAAGACTGTGCAACAACCGCCAGGGCACATTGCGATCGCCAGAAGCTCAAAAGTGGCAGGCAGAAATGCCATGATGAAGATATACGTCCTCCATGGCGGGGCTCCCAGGGCGCCATGCTAGGTCTTCGGGAAGGGCAGGCTGGCTATGCTGGGGCAGATGGGCCGAAGCTGCCGCTTCATACAGTTCTGAATACACTTCTGATGCTACGGGCTGCTGAGCTGTCCTGAGGTCATTAAGGCGGATCTCAAGCCCGGCTGTAAGAAGCACCTTCACTGAGGCAAGGTCACCCTGTTTCAGAAGCCCCCAGATGGGTGACATGTATTTTTGCAATTTGCATCCACAGACTATCGCAGGCAGGTGGCCAAGAAGAATGACAGCTCTTGGAGCTGATCTCGGGCTGCCAGAAGCTCCTCAGCAATACGCATAACCCCTTCCCAATCGCTCTACCTTGGTTGCCTGAAAACGCTGGACGCTCCTTCAAAAAGAGTTCAAAAGATAAAACAAAGCGAAAGCCAGGCGTTCTGATGCTGAACCCCAGTTTCCAAAGACTTGAACGCATCAGCGTCCGCCACTCTTTATAAACCTTTACTCAAATTTCAGACCTCCGACATACGGCAATCCACAGAAGATGTGGGGTTGGTCAGTCAAAAAACAAGTCAAAAGAAGCGGAAGCAAGATCTGCCTTGAGGACATGTTCAATACTTTCCATCCTACAGCTTTGTCGTTTCCATGTACATGCAAGCATTTCAGTCATCTCATGTCGGCCATCTCATGTTACTGCGATGACAACCCCAAACCATGCAATTAGATGCTGCCCTTTCACATATCGCGAGCTAATTCACATGATCAATTTTCAGTTTCTGGTTTACTGACCGCATTGATTTGAATGCGATCCCTGAACTTGCAGGTCAACCGCCAGACACGGGGGGCACTTCCGATCCTGTAACCCAAACCGGCAAGGCAAAGATACCTTGTCAGCACTAAAAGAGGCATTCAACCTTAAGTGGTGGTGGTGGTGGTGGTGGTGGTGGTGGTGGTGGTGGTGGTGGTGGTGGTGGTGGTGGTGGTGGTGGTGGTGGTGGTGGTGAGGGTGGTGGGGGCGGCGGCGGCGGCGGCGGCGGTG